TATAAACATCTGTAGAGAACAGAGAACTATTTTAATTAGAAACTCTTCAAAATAAGAATGAGCAAAACACATACAATTTAATAAACAGTCAGAGCCATTATAATGAAAAAAAAAAAAGTCATAAGGAACTGTAACAAATATGTTAAGTAGGACAAGTTTTTCTAGTTAGGACAATAAAAAAATTGATGCCCTGCTGTAGAACTTGAACAGCACTTTATAAGTGTTGCTGGGCAGAACCCAATTGAATTAAGCTTTTATTTTATTTTTAAATATGCTGTCCTTCCTGCTGCTTTATAGTATGCCTCTATGGTTACGCTTTTAATTTAATGTCTTCCTCAACCTGGATGGTATTTAAAAACAGTGAAGAAAAAAAAAAGACTTTTTAGAAGGTTCAGCACTTAGAAAAACTGTAAGAGTGGAGTCCTTAAATATGTTCAATTTTTTTTTATCTTTCAGTCCCTACTTATGGGGATTTGTGGTGGTATGGTCACCCCTCTGTGGCAAATGAGTAACAAATGTGATGTTTGTTCGCTGTGTTTTTATCAACCCTGTCACTAACTAGCTGATTAATCACCTCTGTTAGTTTTACACAGAGAAGTTGGTGGGTTGGGGGGGATTCGGCCACCAATGTAGAAAATAGCTACATTCCTATGGCTTTAGGGATTTAATGTAAACCCAGGTTCAATTGGATTTGCTTTTGGACTGATCCTGGTTCTCGTGTTACTTTTTCACATCTCTATTCACTTTTCTTCAATCAACACACACTCTCTATGTGTGTTATACTTTGGGGTAGTTAAAAAGCCATGTGTGCTTGTGAGGCACAGAGAAAGCTGGCAACAGTGTGTATCAACACCCTGTTAGACATGGCGAGCTCAAGCCACATCCAGTGTTTGTGTGTGGTTTTGCGTTAAAGACAAATAGATGTGTTTAGAGCAACACACTGACACTTGATAGACAGATTTAGGTTTGGGAGGATTGTGTGTGTGTCTGCATGTATGTTCATCAGTGCTGATGGAAAAGTACTTTAAAAAGCATAGGCTGCACATCCTAGCAACAAAAAAAAAGAATATATATATATATATATAAATGAAAAAAAATAAATAAATAAATAAATAATAATAAATATATAAAAAAATGTATAGAAAATATAAAAAAGTAAAAATAAAAAGCATAGGGAATAGGCCATATTTACTTGCAACCTTGATGACATGCAGAGGTATAATCACGCCAGCCTTTTAAAACTTCCTTTGACCTAACCTTTTAACACCTGACTAACTGACAGAAGCTAAATTTGAGGCTTCTTCACAAGTATATGCATCCACACTGAAGAGTGTCACTAGATCAGACTGGCTAATGACCGGTCAGATCTGGTTTTAGTTACCAGATGAGATCTTGGTCTGTTCTTGCCAGGGTTAAAAAAAGGTTACAGCAAAATAACATTTTGGGTTTCTAGGTAGAATTAGACTTAGACAAACTTTGTTGACATCTTGTATATACAGAGTGTATTCAAAACCACATTTCAATGCATAAAGTGAACAGGGAAATGAACACTACCATTTATAAAGTGCAGCAGTGATCAGAATGTAAACAGTGTTGGAGAAAAGTAAAACCAGTTTGAAGTCCTGGCGCAAAAGGCATTTATATGGAAAGGTTCAGTGCAGTGCAGAATAAATAAATATGATGCAAAATCCAGTAGAACATTCAGTTGTGTTCTAATTAAAGGAATTGGAAAAAATCTGCCACGTTGGTGGTAAAAACAGATCAGAGCCAAGACATAAAATCTTTGTTACTCGACAGTACCTTTGTTCATGAAGCAAAAAGTCAGGATTGGTGTTAATATTGGTGAGATTTCTAAAAGTGGGCATACTACTGTGATGCTAAGTAAGGTAGTAACATATCTGTAAATGTTGACTAATGAAAGACTAAGATGATTTTAGGGTTCTTTCGTAACCATCTCTCATTTTTTAGAGGTGATCTATCATCAATCAATACAAATTAGTCTTTGTGGTGAAATTATTTGGTAAAAGAGGTCCCATTTTGGCCATTGTAAACGGTTGCTAGGCTTAGACAGGTGCTTGGTTTGGAAGAACCAGCTCATCGTAAGGTAGGAGCAAATCAAGTTTTTATCAGTTGAGATAAGAAGACGTGCGTTGGATTTTTTTGTTGAGGGGGTTTACAATCTTTTCCCACAAATGTTGCTGGATGGAATCTGTGTTCATAAGATAATGGCATTTTAAGGCGTACAAATCACTGTTTACCCTGGCAAATGTCCCTGCCACACCCTTTCCAGTGTCCAACCCATCCTCTCCATACGTGTGTGATTCCACACTAGCAGCTGGTGGGCTTCTATAAATAGTGTAGTTCAGAATATTGTAGAAAGACAATATATTACCTCCTGAATATCTTCTTTATAGCACCTTCATCATGGATCTGCTATTCAGTGATATTCCCACACTACTTTAGTGGCTTACCTTCTTCCAGGGCTATAATCATTGCGCCTCAATAATGCCGACTCCCCCCACACACACCCTTTGCATGGAAATTTGTACCATTGCTTAAAGGACACTGGTAGTCTGAGTGCTTCATTGCAGAGGAGTATAAATATAAATTAAAGAATAGGGGATTCCGGCACAGAGCTTTGTAGTTACATGCAGTTGGACCCACTTTTAAAACATTGTGCCAGATGGTATTTTGTTCTGCAGCACATGGCGATGCTGGTCTAATGTTTGACTTTGCACTTAGCAGGTAGGTGACCCTATGTGTGTGGAACATCAAGCCATCAAGGCGGACTGTTATTTCCTAAATCATGATTGTGTATACAGTCATTGTAACGGTCTCCACGCAGGATGTGTGTCTTAAAGAGAGCCAGGTGATGGATCTCTGGCGGCAAGTGGGATAACGTTGTGGTCCCAGGCGCTTTGGGTAGAGACAGGTGTGGAGGACTCTGTCTGTCAGCACTTTGTGTTGAATGAGCACCTAGATGCTACTACCTTACAACAGTAATCTTTTACAACCACTAGATAATTTTGTTGTGCTGTTGAGTGATTTTAATGCATTTCTTTCTTGCATACATGTTAGTAACTGGCTTTCCTTTTTTTTGCTGATGAGAGTTGTTTGTCTAAGATAAATTCGTTGATTTTTAGATGGACTAGCTGTGAGCTGATGCTGATTGAGTACCCTGTCCACACTCTGCCTTTACAGAATGCTTGTTTTGAGGAATGATCTGATTTGTAATAGTGACAGAGCACCTGTGGTTGAACATCAGCAATGACCCTTTAACCCTTAAAGCCGAACCACGACCACATGCACACATACACATATGTAAAGACTCACTCCTCTGCTCGTTTGGTGCTGCAATCTGACCCATCCGTCAGGGTAGCTTCAATAGTATTACCTTGCTTCCATGTGTTTCAACTGGCCTCACCACCTGTCCTAAGCCGTATTTCACCCAGACTGTATTCGCTCCAATGTAAAGCCCTCCTGCTCCTTCCATAGGCACCAGAGCTCTAAAATAGATTGTGATTGTAGTGTAAAGCAAAGTTTAACAGCTTTTTGAACCTGATAGGAGAAAATCAAATAATGTAGCTCAAACTTAGTCAGGCAAGATGAAGAATGTGCAGCAATTTGGAATTCTTTCCATAGATTCCCACACGGATCATGACCTGGACAATTCTAACAGATAAATATGCAAATGTTCTGTCTAACCAAGCATATTGATGAGAAAATTTAAGTGTTTGATCTACAAATTTTTTATTTCTTCACATTTTTCTTTGCTCCTCTCCAGTGGTGGTAACTTATAACTTAATTTGATCAATTTCTTTATATTTAACCACATATTTGAATTTCATGACAAATTTTTCCAAAGCTTCTTCAAGTCTATCTTTTAATATTGATCTTTGTTTCTAGGTTTTTATCCTTTTTACACAGAATCAATGCATAAAATGTAAAAAAAAAAAAAAAAAAGATAAAAAAAAAAACAATAGTGTAAACTTTGTGTTTGATCTAAATCAGCCTAGTTAGTAGTTGATTTATTCATCTTGGATAAGAGTATCCTTTTACCTAATTTCTGCTATAGTGCTTTTGCTGGCATAGCAGATAATCTATTTAATCAGGAATCCTTGGAAAGGGCAAACAATAAAATGGCAGTATTAGAAACCCCCAACTATAAATGAAAAAGAGGTTTATGTTTAAATTAATATGGATTTATCTAAAGAACAACCCCAACATAACACTTAAAAATACCTTTTGTTTACCTATACAGTTTATTTACAGGAAGTACACAGCAACAGGTGAGGGAAGGGCAATTCTGCTGTACAACAGGCCCCTTTCAGCCAAGGAAAAACCTAAACCTAAATTGGAAAATGTGAGCTTTTTTTAAAACCATGACTGTTTAGCTAAATACTGAACTATCATGGATAACTTGTATATTGGAGATTATGCTCTCTATTTGTGACTACAGTGGTCGTTAAAAAATAAATGCTTTCCCTAGACATATTATGAACTGTTGTCTATGAAAATAAATTGTCTAGATTTTGTAAACAGAAGATTTTTGCAATCCACAATATACTTCTTTAAGATGATACTTTGGTTTTCTTCTTATCTTCATGAATTAGCCATTGCTGGTCCCTCCCAGTGCATAAAAACAACATGTTCACAAATAATACCATGTTAAAATATATAGCAGAAAAGCTCTGTGGTCAGGCAGACAGTAGAGTCAGGTCTGGACTGTGACTAGGATATATAGGGGCTGTAAATTCAGCTATACTGGTACCAGACACTAATGTTTAGTATTAGATCTAAATATCAATAATTACCTACCAATTAAAGGATGATTCAATATTTTAAGGGAGATGTGCTTTTATATAAAACATTACCATTCCTTCCCTTTGTTATGTTGATTAACCCATGCCCTAGTATTGGAAAAACCCTGTATTATGACAAGCTTCATACTAAAGTCAAAGTTTTTTTTCATCATCTAACCTGATGTCTCTTTCTTCCAGACGGCCTCCATCAAGTTGTTGCCATTTGCACGCTGCGCGTCATCATAATCACTGACGATATGCTCACCAACAGCATCACGGTGCGTCTGGAGAATATGTCGCAGGAGCGATTTCTGTCTCCCCTCCTCAGCCGGTTCCTTGAAGGGGTGGCGGCGGTGCTGTCCACCAAACGGGAGGCTGTGTTTGTCTTCAACATCCAAAATGACACCGATGTGCAGGGCTCCATCCTAAACGTTACCTTTTCAGCACTGCAACCAGGAAGCGCCTCGGGTAGAGGAACATTCTTCCCCTCTGAGGAGCTCCAAGAGCAGATCTACCTGAACAGAACGCTGCTGAGACTCATATCCTCTCAGGAGGTAGCCTATAAGTGAAAGCTAGATGTGAAATAAAGAGGTGTGTTATGTTGGTCTAACTCAAATGGTAACTGTCTCTCCAGGTGTTGCCATTTGATGATAACATCTGCCTCCGGGAGCCCTGTGAGAACTACATGAAGTGTGTCTCTGTGCTAAAATTCGACAGCTCGCCGCCATTTATCGCCTCCAACACGGTTCTTTTTCGACCCATCCACCCCATCAATGGGCTCCGGTGCCGCTGTCCTGTTGGTTTCACCGGGGACTACTGCGAGACTGAGATCGACCTTTGCTACTCGGGGCCATGCAAGAACAACGGAACGTGCCGCAGTCGTGAAGGGGGGTACACCTGCGAGTGCCTGGAAGACTTCACAGGTAGGCCAAGTTTCAAATTTAATAACTTTTTCTTTTTTCTTTTTTTTTCCCTTCTCCAAGTATTTCTCTTCTGTCTACGGAAAAGCTGCCAAACTGCTTTGACTAGTTCATGGGGCTAATGTTGAAATGTGTTTGACCTCTAAACAAGTTTTTTTAAACTTGCACAAACAGTAGAGGAACTCACATCTAGTGTTAAATAGCAGTTACTTATGTCATTTTTATATTTTTACTTTAGGATCTATGTTTGATAAAATTTTACGAATTTTAAAAATCAAGGCTTTTCTTTTCTTTCAAAAGTAAAAGCATCAACATTTTAACATGCTTGCCAAGCTAATCAATATGTTAACATTTCACAGAATGTTTAAACAAAATTTCTAAAGCCTTAAAAAATATTTGCATTGTACAATGTGTTTTAACAAATGAAGTTTTAAAACACAACAAAGACTCTTAGTTTTACTCAATTTTAATCACAATATATCTGCTGATATAATGACAGCTTTTAATTTGAAAAGCATAACTTCTAAGCATGTTAGCTCATTCCAGTTCTCTATAGCTTATAGGTTAGTAGTTTTCCTGCTTTGATCACCATTGTTTTTAGATGTGTAAAACAGACATGCAGTGTTCGCAAAGATATATATTTTTTATTGGCATTTTGTCACACCATCCCCATGGGGAAGTTGTCATGTCATGATGTTACCAGCATCATGTGGTGGGAAGCTGAATAAATCCTCTATGAGAACCTGTCGAAGGGCAATACATCCCAAAGTAAGAGTACAAATCTTTGGCATGACAACAGCCAGTTACACAGATCATAGCATATTCTTGAATCAGAGTGGTCCAACCAATTCCTATCTGAATTCAAATTGAGAGTCTGTGGTTAGACTTTAAAGCAGATGTACCCAGATGCCCTCCCACCAATATGACTGGGCTGGAGCTTTTATTCATAGTAAGACCGGGAAAGCAATTTTGCCTCTACATGTGCAATAGCTTTGATTCAATTAAGTCTTAAAAGTGGGCATGCATTCTTCAGACAGGTGTAATTATCTAATAAAGTCCCCTTGTGCCCTAACTTTATCTTACATAAAGCATAGAAACACTTATTTTGAAAAACAGTCCAAAAGAATCAATTGAATTTAGGCTTAATTAGTACCGGTAGTAGTTTGGTGTTTCTAAAAACTTTTGTAATGTTCAAGTGTAAAGAAATGGAGCAAAAAATTAAATCCTCTTACCTTTACAAATGTGGCCTGCTAATAATGCATACTTGAATTGTGTCAGGCTTTTGCATTAGGAAGAAGGAAATAAGATTTAGGCACATTTCTTTTATTTCTAATGGTTGCCTGATCATCCAGAGATGACAGTCGAATTGTCTTTACAGACTAACTATGAAGGCATCCCAGGTGATCAAATGATTTCCAATTCAGATAATCAGAAAGTTGGTCTGGGAGTCAATGGTGGACTCACTCCAAACATTCGGCACAATGAAAATTGTAAATCTTTAATGGCAAAGATAGAGTGTCTGGAAAACTTAGCATAAGATTATTAGAGTGTTAGAAATATCATTGCTTAGGTGTTTCCATTACACTTTTGTCATTTTCATGCCATGTAATTTCTCAACGTAGATAAAAAAAATGTTTATCAATTGGTTTGTTGGCCTTAATAATTCCCTACATAGGCTTTAAAAAAGACTAAATAAAATTGTATCTGTTAAACATTCGTTTGCTATTGTATTATTTAAAATAAACTTTAGTATAGTTTGTGTTTAAGTTACAGCTTCCTGACCATTCTTGATTTGGTTGCTTGGACTTCTGCTAACCCGGCTTCATGTGGCAGGAGTTGTGGGAAGACTTGGAAAAGTTCATTGTTCCTTTTGAAACTCTTTGCCAAATACTTCCTGATGTCAGTGATCTTCCTCCCATACTTCCCTCTTGTACATTCGATACCTGATTTTCTCTGCTCCACTGTCGCTCTCTAATAGAGCACTGGGGCCCTCTCATAGTACCCATGCCTCATCTTCTTCCTTTGCCCCCTTACTTGTCCTCATATCTGATATAATTACCTGATTATACCTACCTTTGTCACTCCCAGGACTTTTGGCTTCCTTCTCCTATGTCATCTTGTCCACTCATCCACCATATTTCCTTTTCCTACATCTCAGGGTCCCTTCTTTGAAGGTCACAGTTAAACTCTGGGTAGTCAGGGCCATCAGGGACCATTATGGGGCTGATGACAGCAGGGGTGGGAGTTGATCTGTTCTCCTTGGGTTTCCTACATTACAGGGAAATAGATCCTTATAATTCCACCCTAGGAAAAACGGATTATGTTGAGGAGAGAAGGGCCATTAGCTGGTTCCAAGCTGTAATGTTGGGGGGGTCCGTATGCGCATTGGATGGCGAGATCATGTCTGGATGGCAGGTGGACACACCACATAGGAGACAGGAGCATCTGTAGCAGAGAGGATTTTCTGTCAAGAATTTAAATTATCAGAGCCAGGAAGCTAGGCTCACTTAGCCGATCTTGAGCTAAGCTACATTGGTATGGCCATTAATAGAGGAATTTCACAGAATTAGATCATGTCATAAAATAGGTTAATTCTCATACTTTCATCTGCATCAACTACATCAAGCAATTGATCTGGAAAGTAAAGCTGGAGAGGGTGAATACAAAATTTTTAGATAAGAAAAAAGAAACTTCTTCTCCATGTTACTTCTTAGGTTGTTTAGAGTGATTTCTTTTACTATATTCACTTTTGAAATTATGTTTTTTTTTGTCTTAATGTGAAAAGGCCCCTAGAGATGCCAATTCTCCATTACGAAACAGTTTCAAATCGAGCAAATTTGACAGATCTGCTTAAGTGTTGTAGGCATATCTTTAAATACACCTCTTAGTTAATGAAGCTGTGCTTGAGATTTGCTATCTCCAGATATGTGGATGGCAATGTCTTTGTTGGTTTGTTGTTGTACTATGCTCTTGATTTTCAGATGGTGGATTAAACAGTGCAGCAGTGTAGCCTATTCCTTTGTAAGGTGCCACAGCAGGCAATAAATCAAATGCTTTTTTTTAAGTTAAAGTCAAAACTAATTACATTAAGTCTGGATTTTAGTTAAGGGTTCACAGCATGCTTTCAGAAAGGACAAAGTAAGGATGAGTCAATGAGACATCATGGTCATCAATCATCCCCATTGTGTTGCTTAGATGAGCTCACACAAGCGATATATCAGTAGTAATTAATTGGACTCTTTCTGCTTCTCCTTTTAGGCGAGCATTGTGAGTTGAATGCCTCTTCAGACCGCTGTGTTCCCGGTGTTTGCAAGAATGGTGGGAAATGCATCAACCGACTCGCTGGAGGGTTTATGTGCGAGTGTCCTCCAGGAGAGTTCGAGAAGCCTTACTGTGAAATGACCACCCGCAGCTTCCCCGGGCAGTCGTTCGTAACATTCAGGGGTCTCCGGCAAAGGTTCCACTTCACTGTGTCTTTCATGTATGTACTTTTTGCCTTTCTTTCTCTTTTTATGCTATAAGGTTAAGAGTTAATGAATATTTTCTTTCAGGAGCTGCTTTTTATTGTTTTATTGTTTGCAGCTTAAGAAGGAAGTATACACGTAAGGCTGTTGGATGACACAACATATGAATCTACAGTATTACAAACATTAAGTCATCTAAAAGACAACAAACAAAGGTAGCCAAGAAAGATGCACAAAAAGAATTGAAGCCTATTTGTCATTTTCAAACCCTACTCTGTTCAAATGGAAAAAAATGGACCTTGCTTGAAGTTCCGTAACTAGTTATGTCTTAGCACACTTATTCCTGTTAAGCCCAGCGTACACTGTGCGATTTTCGAGGCGATTTTCCTGTCGTGCGACAATCTTTCGATTGGGCCGACTTTCAGCCTGATCGTGAGTCGTGTAGTGTACAGGGGGTTACAAGGGGCGATCAGCCTCTCACGACTACCTCCCGATCAGGAATCGTGACCGTTGTGGGCAAATCGCTCAGTGCGCATGCGCAAACAAGGATTCTTCTGTAAAAACAGAAGTGTGGCAGGGATGCAATGAGTGAAATGCAGTTCTGTCTGTAAAATTGACCAACCGTGGTAGCCACGTTTGCTCATCCATGTCTTTTTTTTAAATACGTCATCACCTTTTCTTTTTAGAGCTTTCAGCACAAAATTGCACAAATTGCCAACAACAGCGCGTTTTACTCTAGTGAGCTCAGTATCCCCCTTCTATTTATTTGGCTTCCGGATAGACGAGTCAGAGTAGTGCCATTTCACTGCGGAGCCAAATCCAACGTGGTTTTTAGTTGCACAGTGTGAGCAGGTAGATAGCATGAGAGAGTCGGGCCGAGCATTAATCGTAAGCTGTGAACTCACACTGTACGACTAACCGCAGGGTTTAGTCGTACAGTGTGAGCAGCAGCTGCGTGCAACGACTGAAAAAAATTGCACAGTGTACACCCGGCTTTAAAGTTGCTGGCATATCTGGTGTGTATTATTGTTCCTACCGAAAGCCAGACATATAAAAAAGGCAAATTAAGTCTATTACTAAATCTCCATTGAAATATTATGCAAACTAATAGATATTGCCAAAGGGGACCTGTTGTAAAATGGAAAGCAGGCTACTTCTTAATTCTGGAATTACACTCCAAGAACAAAAATGGCCCCTGGACCAGAACAATTTTATCTTGTCTAAATACCTTAATGAAAGTAATAAAATATATTATTTCTGGATTTGTTTCACAGGGAAGCGAATTAGTTCTCTAAACGGGTGTAGCTTAGTAACTGTTGTTGAATTAGATAATCAAGCGTTTATAACCAAATGCTAGGAGTCATTTTTGTTGTTTGGAATTTATTACAACAATAATACCTATAGCTTAATATAAAGAAGATAACCTAATACTAAATGTTGCAGTATTTATGTAGAGATACAGGTTGCTAAACGTCTTTTGGTTGCGAGTTAACTTTATATGCTTTTTAGCCCCTCTATGTGCTATAAAAAGGATATAATGTACATTTTTTGTATTTTTACCTGTGAAATGTCCTTTACATCCATTAAAAAGGGCCGCCTGTTCTAAGCAGCTGTGTAGTAAATGGTGATATAAAGGAAACTGAGTTTTAAAATATAGCTTGGGCAGGTCTAGACATGCACACTCTTCCATTGTGTTAGAACAAAACGTATCTGAATTTAATGAGGTTTGTTTCTCACACTCTCTTTAAACCTGAAATTGCTGGAGGAAAAACAACCCCGGTTGGACGAGTTACTTTATTCTCTCCCAGTAAAAATACATTTGCAAGAGGTGAACCAAAACTTTGAGTTTTATTGGCCCTAATAATAAAGGTGAGACTAATATTTTTAAATTCATCGACAGCATGAGGGCGAGGGAAAATATACAGAGCGGTGAAAACAGGAAAGACTGTGTGATGTCTTCCTTATCAGTGTTTGACTGCAGCCATCCTGACTTCCTGCCCTCCTGGCCTCACTGGCATCTGTTGTCTGACTTTGCTGCCCTCACCTTCCACTCCTAATATGCATCAACGCATCTGAATTCTCTACCCACCCAAAACACACAAGTGCCCAAGAGGGGAGAGCTGGTGAAACTTTTAAGGCGAGGAAATTATTTCATCAAGAGTTGCACATCCTTTACATATTTCACTTGGCAAGAGCAACTTTTCTCAGGAACAACTTGCTCTTTAAAAAAAAAAAAAAAAAACAGAAATCAACATCCTCAGCATTTCAACCCTGTTCTGTTTGACTTGGAAAGAGATTTTAGATAATAACTCAGGAAACTTAAGCAGGAGATCATAAGATCTTATCTTATAAGTAAAGCAGCTGAAATCCTCAAGGATCAAAGATCCAGAGGTGGATCGTCCCATTTACTCAATTACAGTAACTTTTTGACAAAAGTTAGATTGCACCATAGGTTTTTAGGTTTACTTGATTAATATATTTAATCAACTAAAACTGAAAAGCACTTTTATTAACATCACCGAATAATGAACAAGCTTGTTTAAAAAATAAAAAAAGTGCTCCATAAAAAAGACACACACTTAATATTTATTCAAGCTTAATTGAATCTACCATGACATTTAGAGATTGATTTACTATACAGTAAGGAGTAAATAGTGTCAATGGGGGAATTTGGTTTATACCTTTTATGTTGTAAAGAAAATTAGCTTGGAAAAGTATTATTTTCTGCCTGCAATAGTTTTTTTGTTAATTACCTTACTTGTTTCTTTGAAATATTTTATTATACTCTTTAAAATGCCAGAATTTACACATAACATAACATTTTATATATAAGCTGTAATGATCAGTCACTTAGAAGTTGAGTAGATTTTTCACCAAATACCTTTTTACTCTCACTTGAGTTAAAATATAATAAAGTTGTGCTACTTTTCCTTGTGTACATTCTTTCATCAGCCATAGGAAGAGACATGGATCAATTCTCTTGATTTTGCATAAACCTCTCTGCACCCTCTGTACTTTGTAGAGCTACTGAGGCCTTGGACAGAGGATTTCTACAACATTGGGTCAAAGATTTTATAGTATTATTGCATGAATACACTTGAGATATTAGCTTGTGTCCCGCAAGTAACACATGTAGGTCTATTTATGAGTCAGCAAAATGTTATGTTTATATTATTATTATATCTAAGATAGGATCAAGTTTGGATCATTTCCAATTGTTGCATTTCCAAAATAGAAAGATCCTAAATGCTTATTGGAAAGGTTATACCCTCCAGCTAGAAAGATGCATTTTACTAATTAAAAGCACCTAAAAATGTTGGAGTTGACATTTTAACCGGTTCTTAGAACCCTATATTTGTAATTAGTTTATCTAGCCTTTTGGAATTACTGTCAGAAGCAGCCTAAAGGTGTTTATTCTCTAAGTCTAAGATACTCTAACTTTTGATTTCCAAAAGCTTGTCAACATTTTAAAAGCCATTTTCCATGACATCAACTAAGCTCCTAAGGAGCATTATTTTGGGCATGTCCCAATTTAATAAGACATTCTGATTAAAGGTACAAGCGGATGGCACATTTTAGACAAAACTGCAAAAGTACACAAGGAAAAAGAGGCCAAATATATGAAAATTTTGCCTCATAAAGTTGTGCCTCTTCCAACATCTAACACATCTCACGAAGGCTAGAGTTTGCAATTGACTGGTCAAGTTAATGTCGCCTGATTATGGTCTGGGATATATCCTTGATGCATCGTTGCAAATTCTAAATCAAATTTTTTGCAGTCAAACATCTCTATTTCCTCTTCCTGCAGGTTTGCTACCAGAGAAAGAAATGCTCTGCTCCTCTACAACGGCAGGTTCAATGAGAAACACGACTTTATCGCCCTGGAGATCATTAAGGAACAGATTCAGCTTACCTTTTCCGGAGGTTAGGCTTTTTATTATGTATCTTTCTGACTGTTTATGTGTTTTTCTGCCACATTAATTCATCCATGAATGCTGATAATCTAAAGAGACTCTCATAAATAAATGTTCACATTGTGTGGTTTATTTTGACTAACGTGTGTAGTTTAGAGCGAGAAGAAGAGAAGCTAAGCTCTCATTGAAATGCAGTCAGACATACGCCCAGAGTCATTGTTAATGTCGGTAACTGTTGACTAGCAGATCAAACACACGTTCTTTGTACTTGCAACTGTTGTTTTCACATTCGATCTGCTTTCCCATGGCACCGTGGAGGGAGGCATCCACTCTAATATGATTATGTTGGGTTGAAGCCGGTTTGGGAGACGAGCCAAGTGCTTGTGCCCTACCTCAGAACCATAAAAATACTTAAATTCTTGGAGCATAAATTATCAGATGCAGAACTCAGAAATCACATTGATCTATATAAAAACAGGTTATAGATTTGTGTATAACAGATCACACCATTTAGCTTCAGGCTAGGGGTCTGCAACCTTTATGAGCCAAAGAGTCATTTTAACCTGCTAAATAAAAAATCATTTAGAGCCACAAATACTACATGGCTTTTTAAATAAAACACAACTTTTTTTTCTTAATGAATATCTGTAATAGAAAGTCTGTTGCAATTTAGACAACAAATAGTTTATTTGCATTTTTAGTTTTTATAATAAGCATAAAACACAAAAGGCTTCCTCAGTCAGACCGTGCATCTTGCATTCAGGCTCCTTGGCATCAGAGGGTTGCTTGAGAGAAGAGTCACCAGAAACATCAGGCTGCTGAAAGAGCCTCAAGGTGGCTGTTGATCAAGACGGGAGACGCATGGAGTAGTGCGCTTCTTGAACACAAACTGGGGCCGGATTAACCCCAGTTGGGTCGCCCAGACGAGGGTGTCTGAAGATCAGAGACCTGAAACACCCTATGACCCTGGGTCCTTCACTGATGATGTGTTCAAGCTGCACCGGCTTGGTGTTTCAAAAATCTAATCTACAAAAGTTTCCTAATGAAGAAGGATTGATTTAATTTCTTTTTTTCTATGGGATATTATTCTATGTACAAAATAAACACAATTTTCAAGCTGATGGCAAGAAATATAGAACTAAAAATATATTCCTGAATCTTTAATGTCTTTCTGTAGTAAAGAAATATATTCAAATTTTCTTTAAAAATTCAGCTAAAGCTTGTAAACATTGTATTTGTTAAAACCTTTACATTCAAAAACCACTAGTTTGTTCTTTATCATTTTTAGTCCCTATTAAAGAGTCTCTGTAGAGCCAGTTGTGGCTGGTTGCAGACCCCTGCTTTAGACTTACAAACACATGCAGATATGCAGCTAGAGATAATTTCCTTTGATATTTGCTCATTTCTAGCAGCATTGATTCTTGTGCAGACGTTGCTCCTGCCCTTAGCAAACAAACTTTAAACCCTCGCTGAACCTTATTCTTTCCTGTTTTGCTTGATCTATGAGGTGTCAGAAGTAAGGCTTACTGGTTTTATTTAACATTGTTTTCATGCATTTCTCATCCAGGTGAGACTATAACCACAGTGACCACCTACGTCCCTGGAGGAGTTAGTGACGGACAATGGCATTCGGTCCAGCTCCATTACTACAACAAGGTAAAGAATGTTATCAGCTTCCCCTCTTTCCTCCTCTTTCTCTTTGGGTTTGAAGGAGCTGATTAAGAGTTCCTTTGAAGCACTTAAATCAACAAGATGGGTTATAACCGCAACATACCACCTAGGTATCTTTAAGTTAAAAAGCTGTAAATTGATGAATACAGAAGAAATAGGGTTAGATCTGGCAGGGTCCATGCTGTAAATTAGCAAGTGTGGGAGTGGAAAGAGTGGAAAGTTGTTCTCTTTGAAGCAACCAAGGAAGATGACCTTGACTGTGGAGACAGGGGAGATAAGCGTAATGGTGCAGTTTAGTTTTTTTTTTGTTTTTTTTGGCATCCATGCTGTGGATGTCAGAGCAGGAGGCCAGACGCCCTCAGCTTCAAAGGTCAAAAATTCACTAATTGCTCCAGTTAAGGACTGCTTGTCTTCCAGTGGATGGTTATCACACAGGTAATCACAGGATATCTCAGTAGGTTCATTCACAGGGTAAGTTTTAAGACGTTTCCCACGATGGTTTCCTTGCTTGTTGATCAGAAAATAGGCTGCGATCATTCTGTAAGCTGGCTCGTATGTCCTTTAGTATTATGTGATTCAAGTTTAAATGGTGTTCATTTACAGCAAACTTTCACAACCCAAAGGCTTTGTTCTTCTGTCATTAAACCACCCAGGAAATAAGATGAGTGTTTTCCTTTTAGGGATGAACAAAGTATTGTTTACCCCACTAACACAGATTTTTTTATTCACAAATGCATTTTAAATGCAACTCCAACTCATATAGCTATAAATGGATGGATTAGATGTTTCATAGTTCAAACATCTTGAACTTTTTTTAGATTTTGTTCAGACTAAAACAAACAGCAAAAAGAAGCCTTGTGTCTTTTTGTAGGAACTTTTTTCAACATCCTCTAACATTTATTTCATAAATGCAATTTACCACCATTGTTCTTATTTTTTCTCAGGAGGACCTGAAAACAGGAACATCTGAAAAGTGTAATAAAAATTTAAACCACTCCCATAATTTTGGAATGGCTCCAATAAGAGCTGTATCATTATCTGCTTGTTTTTGCTCTATGCTTTGACTAGGCCGTTTTAAAACCAGAATGTGCTTTGGTCTAAACCATTTCATTGCTGTATGGTTTATTTATTCTTTTAAGGATAAAGGAAAGGTTGCAAAGAATAATATAAAAAAAACTTCTAATTGGTCAGTTTGCAGCTTCTAGATATTTTAGCAGTTAATGCTACAATCATACAGCCATGGATAAAAGGAATAAACCGCTCTTGTTTTCTTCATTTTGTTGTTTTTAAAGCTATATTAAATAGGTAATAAGAAAAACAAAAAACAGTACATGACTGTGTTAATTAAGTATCGGAACAATCTAGATATTGGACAGAAACCCAGCATGATATCTACATAAGAGGTGGAACCATTTAGCAAAAATCTTCTGCACTGCAAAAATAATCTAGAAATAAGTAAAAAATTTCTTAAATTAAGTGTATTTACCCTTAATTTGAGTAGGTAAATAAGATGATTTTTCTAATAGAGTTAGTATTTTTCTCTTAAAATAAGATAATTAGATAATATTCTCTTGAAATTAAACAATGTAATTGTTTTTATTTTATTGTAAATGTAAGTTGTCTTGTTCCATTAGCCAAGTATCTCACTTACTTGCTCAATTCAAGAAAAAAATGCACTTATTTTAAGAAACAGTGACTTATTTAGATTTCCATTTTTTGCAGAGTGCGGAATTGGTTTTCTTCGATGCCATAAACAACTGCATCCTATTATTCAAATTTGTAAAACATATTTTTATATATTTGTTTTTTTATATTTGTTGTCATTGGTTAAAATGTGTAAAATGCAGTGCAGTAAAGCACTACATATGTATGCCTGCCTTTCTAGCATATTAGGAAACCTCCATGCATCATTGTATTTCAGTGAATCCTTTGCTTTGCAACGTATTAAAGGGAGGAAAACTATTACATTTCACAGGTTGTTCACCTCTTTCTGTTGTCCGTTCCATACTATGTTGTCCTGACAGAGAAGAATTGATTTAAGTTGATAAATTGGGTTGCTGTATGTTAGAATGTTAGCTGCAGGGTCACATCTGTATCTATTGTTCTAGGTGCATTTGTCTTCCTCCTGAGCTTCTGCAGAGTGTAAAGATGCCAGAGAGCAGGCAGGGTCAGTTGCCTAAACTTGTGCTGCTGCAAACCTTCAGACTCCTGCAGAGATGGTTTGCAGGATACAGTCTGTTGGCTCTGAAATCTTGTTTTGTTTGTCTATTGTGGTGTTGAGAGTTTGAAACCATGTTGCCCTTGGAAACGAGAGATTGATTGCTCAATCCTGTTCTGTTCAGTTTGCTTTTTTTTATTTATTGAGCCTCCACTGATCCTTCTGGCTTTCTTTTTGCCACCCAAACATGCATGCACAAGAAATGCACACACTAAAGCACACTTATTACACTGAGATTGTGAGAGTGTCCTGGTGTTATGTGCAGGTGAAGCAGTGGGTGGGTGTGCTCCACCAGTAGCAAATCTTAATATGGACCAGTGATTTGTAGACCTGGTGCCAAATTCCGTTAAACCAGCCCAAGGCCCATGGAGGTCAGATTTTCTTTGTCAGCTGAATGATCAGAAGACAGAATTGAGTCATGTAATATAATCCAGTTGCTTGGGGTGGATTAGTGAAAATGTATCTGACAGAAAGCAGAAAAGGTTCTCACAATAGATTAGGCGTGTTGACATGTGATTGTTGGACATGAATGAATTTCATGTTTCTTACTCAGTCATATAGATATTTCTCTGAAGGTGGCATTGCTTACATAGCCCAGAGTGACAAAACTGAAGATCAGAGCTCTGTCCTGCAGTTATGATGTCATCCTGCTTCACACAGACATCTTATAGTGTCTGTATTCCAGAGTTTATTGTTGCAAAATCTGTTGCAACCGAGATTTTTGTTTATGAGTTTGATGCATTTTATGCACTAATTTTGTTTGCTTGATATTAGAAACGGTTAAAAGCTGTATGCATGACAGCGACTGATTAAATGTATCATTAAAAAGTCTTAAAATATGTTGCCATTAATCGTTGTTGTAAAACAGACAGAACAGACTTGAACAAACCAGTTAAATCCTCAGCAACTTCACCTCAGATTGAAAAGTGTGTGGCGTAAAAATCCAGGCAGTGTCTTTGTTTTAATATTAGAGGCACAGCACAATAGAAAAGGGAAAGAGTGATACATTCTTGCCATTCCCTAAAGAAACATCTCAAGGATAGTTGAATGTGTCAGTAAAGCAAATCTAAACAGGAAACCCAAACACAGATATAGACGAGCCGTGGGTTTTTCCTTTAAGCCACAGGAGGTTTAGTCTTTGGTTTTAAAGTGCTCACCACAGGAAATTACGTTTCTTAAAGCAGGATATGATGTAACTCAGCAGAAGTAACTGGTAGTCAGATGTGTCATAAATGTGTGTTTCATGTCCACCTTGTTTGGAAGGTAAAACAAAGCTTATTCAGTTGGTTAGAGGCTTTGTTTAAGGCTGTGCAGGAAGAATAGCCCAGATGTCATCAAAAGGAGTCAGGTTAGATAAACATTAAAGGTACTGTGGAGGATTTTCACAAGTTTTTTTAAAAGACCCGCCCTCTCCACTTTAAAAAAAAATGCACATGGGCAATCCTGTACCTGCTCCCGAGAGGGAACGCCTATTAGACCGGTGCGAGACCATGCACAAGCCCATTTCTCCTCGTGCACTCCTCGTGTTTAAAAGTTGCTGTTCTCATATGTCATACAAGCCCACTGTGTCCGAACGTCCTCCTCTAAATCCCTTAATTACTATATAGAGCAGGGACTATATAGTGGACTTTATAGCAAACTCAGTTAACTGTAGGTTTGGACAGAAGTTGAGCTTCAATTACTGTCTGAAACTGTCGCTCACCACAGATATATACCTGAAAGTGCGCATGCACAGAAAAAAAAAGCTAAATGGGACGAACACGCAGGACGACCTTATGTAAACATATCACCAGAATGATTGACAATTAGGTGGACCACTTATTTAGATGATCCACCCAGAAATAAAAGATTGTTCTCTATAACTTTAAGCTATAAAGAATATTTGGAAGAATCAACATAACAGCAATGTACGTATCTTAATGCATGGTGATGGCTGCATCATGCTTTGGCAAATGCGGGATCATTATGGTGTGTTTTGATAGTAAAAAAGTTGCATCCTACAGAGGAATTACAAATCCAAATCCTTGATCTCAAAGAGCTTTAAAACAAATAAGCGGTATTTTCACGTAAGGCTGCAGGATGTTAGTGATACCTCATTATATGATTACTGTCAACTGACAGCCATCTCTCCGCAGCATGGGAACTCATTATTTAGTTGAGTTCATGTTTCACTTTTCCCCTGGCAAAATATAACTGGCAACATTTCTTTGTTGTTTTTTTTGTTTTGTTTTTCTTTACAGACAAATTTTCTCCTGGCGTTACTTGAAGTGAACCCGTCAGAGAAAAAATGTTTTGTTATTGCTGTTGTTTTTGATTGACAAAGCGTCAGTGGGAAAGCTAAAAAAAAAAAAAACTCTCGCTACACCATCATTTCTAAATGCCTTGAAGGAAAAAAAATATTTTTTTAGCAAATGAATGTATGTTTTGTGCATCTTATGTTCAAAACTCTGGAGGTGATTACATTTTAAGGTCTTTTAACTGGAAATTAAAAGCAAAATTAACTCATTTTCAGCTAATTACTAGTGTTGAATAACAGCTTGCTGTGATCTTATCGGATCCTTTAATCATTATTTATATGTTTTTATCTTTGAACCTATTTAAAAACATATAAGAAGGTAATACCCCAATAATATATTACAATTTGTATGACTCTAAACGCATTTTCTAAACGACTCATTTGAGGTCGTGCTGCATGTCTGCACGGCTGATTTAGTTTGTTTTTTTCAGGATAGACTTTTTTTATTATCCTTATTATTAATATTATTTC